CTTCTCCTGAGAATTCTGGGAACTCCTGTATTTCCTCCTGGGAGGCAAGAGAGACTCTCTCTCACTATTCCACTCCCTGGGAGACTTTGCAGCTGACAAGACACATGGAACTACCCTAGTGTCCTGAGCCAGACAAGCCGCATGGACGCAACCAGACCTCTGAAGCCGGAGAAGCCACAGAGAGACCCCTGCCAGCGCCGAGATGCATACAACGCCACTGGACCCAAAGACTTTCTACCCACTGGCTTGTGATCATCCTGCATTTTGCTTCATTGAATGTGTTTTGTGAGTCTGAAGAGGACTTTATAGATTGATATCGGACATATAGGCTAATATCAGACTTATGGCCTTGGACTCAACTGGGTTGGGATGTTTTCTTAATGTACAATTGCTCTTGCATATAAACCTCTTCCTGATACACATATGTAGGTCCATGGATTTGTTTCCGTAGTCTACCCAGACTAACACATTATATATTCAAAGTCATACTTTGGCTCTCAAACACTGTTTTAATTTTTTTTAACCTCAACTTAAACTTGCGTATGAGCAATTGATGGTCTGTTCTGCAGTTGGTCCATACCTTGTTTTGAATGATGATATTGAGCTTCTTCATTGTCTCTTTTCACAGGTGTGCTTGATTTTATTCCTCTGTATTTTATCCAGTGAGGTCCTCATAGATAGTCACAGATTATGCTATTGAAAAAGGTATTTGCGATGAATAGGTCATTGGTTGGGGAAAATTGTATCACATGATCTTTGGCATTATAGGAGAACTGGATAACTAAGACATCATTTCTCAACCCTCTCCCTACCTGCTCTTAGAGTGACTTGGGAAAAAAAGACATTAAGCCCCTCTGACTGCTTTGCTAAATGGTAATGGAGGGTCATATCTGACCTCCTCTGACTTCTCTATTGCCACGAGGCAGACGTCAGACAAGCCTCCACGATGCACCTTTGTTTACTTATTCTGATACCAACTGTCCTCCCACACCACTCTACATCTTTTCTGAGTTCAATAAGTCATTGCAATAATCACACAGCACTCACAGATAATATTCACGATTAAGGGGGTTTATTAGGGGGTAATGGATTACCATTACTCAATATCAGAAGACAGTAAGGACACTCATTGGTTTCTTCAGCCAGCAGCCAAGTCTCTCTCCAGTTCTCAAGCTCTCAGCCACGTGATCTCTTGCTTTGCCTCCACGAGCCAGGAAGCCATCCAGCCTCTCCCTCTATCCCACAGGTCTATATCTCAAGCTAGATAGGGAGAAGGTACCCTGTAGTCTCGGCGCTGCTTCTCTGAGTCTCCATGCCACAGCCTGGGCTGTATCTGGTCCCAGTGGCCTCCCCCACTTTAGACAGTGATCGTGAACATGCTCCTCCCAGGTCCTCTGGGTTTTGCCCTCCTCTGCTGCTTCAAAGACGGCTGGGGAGTGGTAACAAGAATTGAACAACCCCCTCTATTAGTGTGACACAAACCCTATTTGCATAGGCTCACCCAATCATTTGGTGGGATTTACAGAGAGTTGGGAAGAAGACCCACTTGAAGAAAGTTCACTCCTATACAACCAAATCCAAGGGAGGCCTTCTTGGCAAGTTTATTATACAACCAAGCCCACAGTCTCACCCTGACTCCATGCTGATGAATTTATAATTCCGTTGCTCTCCTCACACCTCACACCACCTCCCTATGCTTCACTTGTAGGCAATAATAATGTTAAATCCTATTTATTTGGAGAAACATAAAAAGTCCTCTGAGGAAAACTTGGTTAATGCTCATACACCCACGGGAAATGCAGCTTACCCATACACTGCACCTTTCTCTGTGCTCCTACCCAGAGACAACCCTCCCTGTGTGCACTAGACCCTGCCTTCTCTTGGATCCCCAATCAGACACTCAATGCAATCCTCACGTTGTCTCTTCTCTCCCCTGGGTCATTTTGACGAGCATACACACAAGATCTAACAACAATGATCCTAAAATTAAAAAAAAATTAATCCTCTGTTAACCTCACACTTCATCCCAGCACCATTGCCCATTTCAAAGGTGAATTCTCAGTCCAACCTGAACTGACTTATCAGCAGCGTTTGACATAGCAAACCGAGCCCTTGACATGTTTATTCTGGCACGCGGAACACGTCATCTCTCACACGCTTCCCTTCGACCACACTGGCTTCTACGGCTCCTGTGCTGCTTCTCCTGACCTCCCACACCGCTACGCCCACACTCCAGGACTCAGTCCTTGCTCTTTTTTCTCGCTACGTTTCTTCTTGGGTACCTTATCCAGGTGCCTAACTTAAAAAAATCACTCTCCCTGCAATTCGCTACTACTTCACCCCTATTATAAAGGCAATGACCAAAAGGGAAAACAGTAGGCATTGGTGAGAGTGTGGAGAGACTAGAACCATTGCCCATTGCCAGTGGGAACGTAAAATGGGGCAGCCATTGTGGAAACCAGTTCGGTGGCTCCTCAAAGAGTTGAACATGGAACGACCGGACGCCCAGGAATCCCAATCTCAGGTAGAGACCAGCAGGAGAAACGAAGGCCGGAAACTGTACGCCAGTGCTCATTATAGCACTTTTCACAGTATCCAAAGAGTGGACACAAACGGAAATGTCCATCAAATAAGGAATGCACACAGCGCATACCACGCAGTCATGAAGAGAAATGAAGCCGTGCTGCGTACAGGTACATGCAGGCGCCTTGAGAACATGCAGCGAGAGAAAGAAGCCCGTGTTGACTTTCTGTTAAGGATCGTGAAAGACATCTACATTTTGATAATTCCTAAATTTCTATTTCTAGCCCTCACCTTCCACTACATCCAGGTACCTATTCAGTGTGCCACTGAGATGCCTCACACGTTCTTCGTTAAAGTGTCCAGAATGGAATGCCAAACCTATCCCAGCTAGAGCCTTTCCCAGCTCAATAAAGGTGAACTCCATTCTCCCAGTTGCTCAACCCCGCATTGTAGAGATACTCATGATCCCTCTCTTTTTCTCTGGCCTCACATTGAGACAGCAAATCCTCTTGTCTTCACCTCTTGTAGCTGGCATCGGAGTACCCCCCAGGCCTCCACTGGTAACAGCCTGCAAGCCACCTGCCCTCTCACCAGACGGGTCACAACAGCCTCCAAACTGGCCTTCCGTCCACTTAGAAGATCCCTTTAAGGTGCAAAGAAGCTCGGATGGGTGATCAGCGAGCAGCCTTTTGCTTGTGTTCTTCTGTGGGGCTTCCTGCAAACTAACCTTCTCCCGGCCTCCTTTCCTTCACTTGCTAAGGGGACAATTAACATGAAAGATTAAATAAAACAGTTCATTAAAAACTGCACAAAGAGGAACTGCCCAGGACAGGCAAATCCACAGACACCACAGATCGGTGGCTGCCACAGGCTGGAGAGATGGAGGGAGGGATGGGGGTGACTACTTAATGGGGAGGAGGTGTCCTTTTGGGGTGACAAGACAATTGAGGTGTTGGATGCACAACATTGGGATGTACTGAAGGCCACTGGATTGTGCTCGTTAGGATGGTGAAGAGGTTGCATCTGTGTTGTGAGTTTTCCCTTACTAGTTACAGCAACCTGCGGTGTGCAATGGTAAGTGTTCAATGACTAGATGTCGACTTTTAAGATTTCTTCGCTTCAAGAAATCAAGCAAAACCCCAGACTTTGCTCGGGTGCTCATTGTGCCTCTCAGAATCATGCTCACTCGACTTTCATTCATTTAGTTTAGAACCATTTATTGCTGCCGACATTAGGGATCCGATGGGGAACAGATACACCACCAACCCTCAGGGATGTTATGGGCTCTGGCACGTCCAGACCACCAGCTGGGCTTTCTATTCCTCAGAGGACACTCGCAGAAACTCACAGGGGCAGCTCTACCCTGTGCCCTGGGGGGCGGTAAGTCTGGTCTTAGGGATTTCCCACTAAATCAAGGGAAGATCATCGCAGTGCTGTGTGGGGAGGGCGGCAGGAGAGAAGAGGGAGGAGGGCTGGGTGGCACGTCCGTCAGACGAGGGAGCTTCAGGAGGGCTAAAGGTCTGGAGAAAGGGGCAGCTGAGCTGGGCCTCCTCTCCTGTCAGTGTGTCGCTCCGGGCGGCTTGTGCGCCCTATGATATTGGAAGCTATGCAACGTTTGAGGAGGCTTCAAAACGTGTGTGGGAAAATCGAAGGGAAAGATCATGGGATTTCCCCCACGGACTTTCTGAAGGCGCCTTGTAGTTTCAAACACCAGTAGGGTCATCCATGCTGGGCAGGGTTCGGGGTGCTCAGAAAGGCCTGATGGTCTACTTCTGAAATCAGCCAGTTACAAATCTTATGAATCACAACAGAGTGTTGCCTGATAGGTGCTGGAAGATGAGCTTCCTAGGTTGAAGGCATCCAACAGACATAGTGACACAGACTTGAGCAGGTCCTCAACCACTGCCAAGACGCTGCAGGCCTGGGCAGGGCGTGGGGTTGTCACGAGGTGAGGGGACTCACAGTAGCTCGCAGCCATCACAAAGCAGGTGCTTGAATAATGGGTTCACCTGGGAGGAGTGATAAGCCAGGAGGAAGAGGAAGGAGAGCGAGTATGGGGGGTGCTGGGGAGAGAGGGCCGAGGGGAAATGGGAGAGGAAGAGCAGAAGTCCCAGGAAAGGAAGCAGCCCATATGAGTACAAAGGCTTTGGGGAGGCCGGAGACCTAGGAAGGAGTCAGCAGAGGGGGGTAAAGGTGCTGGCTCCGTCCTGCGTACAGCCCTCCACTTGGCCCTCGACGTCCCCTTTTGGCATCGATGCCCCTCCCCGGCGCTGGCTTCAGCGGGCTGTTGTAGGTGGATTGTTTCCTTGTACAACCTGCCTTCTCTTAGCTAGTGATGGAAAACTCCCGAGTCAGGTATTTGGTGGACGCTGGGAACGCAGAGTGTCAACATCTGGCCCCGCCCAGGGACAACTCTGGGGTTAGTGGGCAGGTAGTCCAGGAAGAAATAATGATGTGATCATGAGGGAAAGGTGCTCTGGGCACGCAGAAGGCGGGGCTTGTGGGCTGGCAGTCGGGCACGGGAAGGTGACTCCTGCGGGGACTCTTGAAGGACGAAGAGACGTTGGGCAGGAGTGGTAAGGAGAAGGGGCTCAGGGGGCACCAGGTGAGTCGCGAAACCTGGCGTCTAGGGGCTGCAGCACCCCCCCACCCTACCCCGAGATCCACGAAGGCGTGAAGACGCTATTCAGGCAACACACACAGTTTTGCAGGTAGCTTTGGCGTGTCGTTGGTCCGCCGGAGGAAGCCTGGTGACGCCGTGGTTCGGGGCTCAGCGGCTCACTGAAAGGTCAGCGTGGAAACCCCCCCGCCGGTCGGAGGGAGGGGAGAAAGAGGTAGCCTTTTGCCCTCTCTCCGCCTTCAGATCCATCCTGTCGCAGAGTGAGTGAGCCTGCAGCCTGGGAAACCCGATGGGGCAGTTCTGCGGGGTCCATTGGGCTTGTCCTGAGTCAGAGCCAATGGATGGTGGCTGGCCTTCCCCACCCCTTCTGGTTCCAGCCCACTGCCTTCAAGGGCTGGCCAAACGCTGGACTTTGGACCTGCCACCAGAAATGTATTTGTTTATTGTGGTCACCAGCCGGAGCAGCTGCCTGCTGAGGTGCCTGCACTTCATTCCTAGGGCCCGGCTGCACCGGCCCACTCAGATCTGGGGCGGGGGTGCGGTCCGCACGCGGACTGTGCGCAGCAGACGCGGAGGAGGAGGAGTTGCAGCCCCGCCTCTGCTGGAGGCGCGGCCTGCTCCCTCCGCCCTTACCTGCGGCT